AAATTCTACAATGGCTTTTGGAAAATCTAAAAGGTTCAACACTATGATTTTTCCTATTGTTTTGTCCAGCATAAGTGGTAGTCTCTGATGGTATCAAACATCACTGATATGTCTTGAACTTCCTGTGAAGTCTTTCCTTTTTCTATCATATATTTCAACACTAACCATTAACCGTCTTTTACAAAAGAGTCAAAAGTATAAAACAAATCGAAACAAACAAGAAATATACTGTATTATGAGTGGGGCAGGGATTTTAAAAGTATGCTCCAGGCAAACAGAGACGTGCTCAAGCTAAAATAGATTAAATACCGTTTCTAGATCTTAGAGCCTACATACTAGAGAATATACCTGAACTTCTAGATTTTCAAACCATTAACAGTAAAAATTTTACGATTGAGTAAGTCGAACTTTCAAAAAACAACGTGGCATACCATCCTTATGTCAAGGCTTAGAGGTCAAGCAGTGGTGGATGGAAAACTTTTATGATTGGGAGCGCTTCGACGGAGAAGAGTGTCGATCATGATCATAAAACTTGTTATAAAGCTTGTCACAATTAGTATTAGCTCATTATTAAGCTTTTTCTGCTAGAAAAAAGGCCACAAAAATCTTTTAAAAAAGGAATGATTCCTCCCAGCACTGCTCTGCTAGATTCACTATTGGGTTCAGGTGCTTATGCCTATCATACTATTCCATACACTTTAATATTCATGTGAAATCGTATAAAAATGACTCGAAAACTATTTATATCTCTGCTTTATTATGCTATTCCTCCTAGATGCTCTATGTCAATCCCTATCTGACATTAGCATAAGCTAGAGTATGAGTGTAGGGTGTTCATTAACAGTGGTCCTACACTCATGCCCACATCCATTTTTCGATCTGAAGAAATAGTCAAAATGGGTCGAGAAAATTTCCGAGAATTGATAAAGATCCCGAACAATCCAGCAGTCTCAGAGTATTGTTCCATCTATATACCTAGCGACGAAAGTCTTCTAATCTCAAAGAATTTAATGAGACGAAAAACAGAGAGATTCAGACGGATCGCTCTAACTGTTGTCTGAACAAAAGCATGTAGAAAAACAGTGATCTATACCTATCCACACCTCACACCCAACTAATCAAAAACAATGATTAAGCCTAGCACTGCCAATCGAGATCATTTTTTCACCTCAGTGTAGCAAACACAAACTTAACGAAACTATCTTAATATTTTTCAGTTGCAAAATATATTCAACACTTTTCAGGATATAAAATTCAAAGTCGACTAAAGAAAAAGGTGCCAATATGACGAGTAGCCTAATAGCTGCATTCATACTCGTATAATGCTTAAAATAGACTTAGCTATACTAAGGTTCATTTAGAATATCTCGAAAACCAATATTTTAAAGAAAATAGCATAAAGGCTAATTAGTCTTGATGAAGATGGTTGCTAATTATTTTCCCTTTTGCATTTGAAAATTTACTTAATAAATTTATATTTCATTGTTTATCAATTTTAGCTATTCAGAAATCTTTTTCTCAAACGTATTTTTGAGTCATTATTTACGACATCTACATATACATGACTTCATTGATAGAAAATTTTTATTGAAACTAAATGAATGAATCATTGAGACATTTATTTTTAAACAGTAGTTTTTGTTTTTCTGTCGTTTAATACCGAACGATTAAGATCGGATGAATGCTTTATATTTGTTGCATCTTATGTAAATATGTACAAAAATGCAAACTGAAACAAACTCAGTGACGTTACTCGATTCACTAAGATGTCCAATTACACATGAATTATTTCGAGATCCTGTCATTGGTGCTGATGGTCATACATATGAACGAAAAAATATTACAGCATGGATTCAAAAACATGCTACAAGTCCAATCACACGTGAATCAATGGACTTAAATTCATTAAGACCAAATTACGTTGTAAAAAAGATGGTGGACGAATTTTTATCATTGTCATCACAAAAAAAATATCATTTTCATCTTGATGTTGATGTATGTAAAACTAGAGAACGACCAATGTTTCAAAGTTCGAGTAAAACAATTTATGAAGCAAAATGGATGTTAAAACATGGACCACCTATAGTATTAATTAAAATTGATGGAGCTAGAGCAAAATGTGAAGCTAGCTTTTATGTGCAACTTAGCTGTCATCCACATATTGTTCGAACTTATGGATTAGTTGATAGTGATTCATCGAATAGTATTATATTGGTTCAAGAATATGCACCTAAAGGTGATCTCAGACAACTTTTACGGAATAATAATTTTCAACCGACGTTTGACGTTTTACTTGAAATTTTTTGGGAAATTTGCGATGCTATGATTTGTTTAGCAGATAATCAAATAGTTCATGGTGACTTAGCATGCCGTAATGTACTTGTTTTTCGATCGAGTTCCAATCAGCCTACAGAAATATTAGTTAAACTAACTGATTTTGGACTTACTCGAGCTAGTCCACTTTTTTCAGTATTTGACTCACCGACATCATCTGCAATGACAATGATTCCAGTTCGTTATGCTGCCCCTGAAATACTCTGTGATACTTCTTCGACTAGTAACTATTCAGAAAAGTCAGATGTCTATTCTTTTGGTGTTCTTATGTGGGAAGCATGCTCAGGAGGTGCAATACCTTATGGAGATTTAAAAACAAGTGATAATGTGTATCAAGAAAGATTAAAAGGAAAATTACTTGAACGACCATATATGTGTTCTAGTGAACTTTGGAATATTATTGAAAATTGTACACAACAAGAACCGAATAAGAGACCTAATTTCAAAGCTATTCAAGAAGATTTACTGAGATTACGATATCAAAATAAAACAGATTCCTTCAATAGAATATCTGTAGTACAAGTAAGAGATATAATGTAAAATGTTTCATGAGAAATATCTCTTTATAGATTAATGATACTTCTCAAAAAGGAACGAAAAAAATGTATGAGTTTTGAAAAAGGTTGACGAAATGAATCGTTAATTCTTTTTCTTTGCAGTTTACCAACAAATAATCTTCCAGAAATAACTGGTCATCAATATTATAATTCTGAGACGTCTTCTCAAGTAAATTATTTTACTTAGACAATCGAGATCGATCTTATACTTCCGTTTCACTTAGAATGGTGGCTGTGAGAGACAAACTAACGTTGGTGTTTACTATAATTTGGATAACTCTGCCAGAGAATATCGAATTTCAGATTCAATTAATACGGATAAGTCATTATGTGAATATTATACACCGTGTGAGTACTGTTTACAATCGATAAATATCGAGGATATTGATACGCATTCAGTACGTTCTATTTTCTTATTCGATACGAAGTCAATTCTTCTTCTTAATTTCATAACTACGTAGAAAGTGTGCAGTGTACGACGTCTTGTGAAATCGTTTGTCAAGTATGTTAGATTATATTTCGTTTATTTATATTTTATTTCTATATTCAGAACTGCTACTAAATTACCACCTTTAGAAATAACATCGTGTCCAAATTGTGAAAATATGATTCCCTTGAATATGTTTAAGATTCATCAGGTACTTTTGAAGACAAAGAAAATTTTTATTACTCATGATTAATTTTATCTGAAGAACACTTGTGATAAAAAATCGACTTACCTTTATAATATGTCTCAAGTTTCTTCACAAGGACCATCAACAGAGAGTTGTATGTTGAAACTTAATCTTTGATTTAATTATTAGGGCATTGTTTTTAATAGATGGAACTTTCAATTATTTAAAACCTGTACCACTACTATGTCCAAAGACTGAAGACAATTTCTACGAAAATATGCCAATAAAAGATGACCAAATACAAAATTTAACATCAGCAGGTATGATAAAAACAAGTGAAATACGTTTCGATATAATTAGCTAGCACTTTTAGTTGACGTGCAATCTGAAATAACGAATCAAGCTTCGACTCAATATGTATGTCCTTATTGATTATTCTGTTTATAATAATGATTAGTGAATATAAATTATTATTTGATAGGAACCTACGATTGTCACATCGATCAAAACACCGAAGTATAATTTGATACACAATATTATCTATATATTCATTTGAATTTTTTTTAGATCTGGTTTTCGCAAAGCTCTTTCGAAGTTTAATACAAAATTTCACCGTAAAGATTAAACGTTGATTTATTGTAAACAAATATTTTTAATTGATATTGTTAAACAAATAATATGTCAAATGTCTATATGAATATATAATTATAAACCTGTCGCAATAGATTTAACAATGAAATATATTGTTTGAAAGCATATAAGTATAATAGATTAGTCAATTTTTAGTATGAATTAAAATCAACTATGAAAAAGAAAAGAAAATCTATGTATTTAACAATCATTTCAAAATATGATGTACTTCAATATTTTCTGAATAGCTTTTGATAGGAACATTATAGAGATCTGCAATCTTTAACATTCAAGAGAGAAGTTTTGGAACCATTGAAATACATTGAATTTAATTAGTTAGTAATTGACAAATCGTGTGAGCTTTTGGTAGATGTTTTCAAAAACAATATTCTAAGGCTATTTGGCTTTCAATTTAAATTTTTAATAAGGCTGATCGATAGAAAAAATTCTTCTTGTTCAGTGTACACAAGACTAATATTCCAAGCTAGTTTCGTTCGAGAATTATAAGATTTTCTATGAAATCTCGATTTTAGTCAATTGACCTGGAGTCACCAAGAAAAGCAGCTAGTGGAAAGTAACTGGACGTGTTGAGTCCAATGGTCATATTTGCTTTTAGATTCAAACTGATCTGACACTGTTACTTCAATATTTTTCAAGGCTCACAATCTGTGTCTATATAACGAAGGAGTCAATATTTCGGAAGTATTGAGGTAACAGTGTCAGATCAGTTTGAATTTCAAAACATAGGACCATTTGACTTCGCATGCTGAATTACTTTTGACTAATTACTCTTCCAAGTGATTTCAGGTCCATTGACTGAAATCGAGATTGCATCAAAGTCTTATAAGTCTTAAGCAGAAAAACCTAGCAATGTCAATCTTGTGTAGATCTAAAGAGAAGAATTTTTTCTATCACTAAATACCATTAAAAATTTAGATTGGCAGCTCAATAACTTCGGAATAACTTTTTTTTCACATATCTTCACCAAGAACTTACCTTATTAGTCAATTGCTAGCTAATCAATTTTTCATATACTTTGATGGTACTCGATCTGCTCTGTTGAATGTTCAAATTTGTAAATCTCTATGATGTTCCTACTAACAGCTATTCAAAAAGCCGTGCAGTACATTATCTTTTGAAATAGATAGGAAATTAATATTATTCAACTGACATCTATGAAAATTGTACTGTCCCATTGATTTTATAATACTTATTCTTCGTATGTTATCAATGAAAAATTAATATTTTAGCTGATTTCTAAAGTTAGAATATATCAAATTACAGAAAAAATGATCTCTTTTTTGTTTGTGAATGACTTATGTTATTGAAACGTTTTTCATGGTGAGAGATTTAGTACAACGCAAAAATAGAGATCATATAGCTTTCAGTTTTTTGAAAATAATTTCTTTTGTTGCATGCAATGTCAATATATATTATCATTGATTGTCTATTCAGTTTTACAGTAAGAAATTTTAGAAGAAAAATATTTGAAAGTTAATACGAGAGTAAAGATATTGCTTTTGCTTATCAGTCAATGCTTTGTGAAAGGTAAAATAAAGGAGATAGACAAATCTGATTATGTAGAATATACTGATGAATCTTAACTTATATTTAAAGGAACTTTTCACGATAAAGATGATCATTCGATCGGAAATTTCTAGTTTTTAGATATGTTCATTTTTGGTCTTTTTCCGTCACATAAGAGAACATCTCTTCAACTATCGTCTTCCGGTTTGAATAATTTTTTGCTCATAGATATAACAGAGTATTCTAAGGAAAGACGATTTTTTAGAGGTCCATATAGCATAGCAAGTTTTCGAAAAGCTCATGTTTTCCAATTTTGATATGGAAATTCACTCACACAGAACTCAACAAGATTATGTTCCATAAAAATATTCAAAAGTTTTGAACAAGGTCTCTTCGAGACATGAGACTTCAAGTTATAGATCTTTTTCTATGATGAATAGTGTGTACGACATGAATTTTTTTGAAAGCTTCATATCTTGAAAACACTTCGCTCGAAAATTCAGAATATTTTTACAGAAGCTGGTCTAGTTGAGTTCTTTATATGCACAAAGCGTCAGATCAAAACTCGATGGTTTAGTCAGATATCAATAAGAACCCAAATTCTATCAAAGTTTTTATTAAAACATTAAGTAGTATCTATAAGGAAAAAAGTCCTTGAAATTGGAAAAGAATAGCAGAAGAGATTCTCTCATTAATAGAAATTTGCATCTAATTAGTTTTTGGATTGATGTTAAACAATTTTAAGTCGTTCTTTTTTGACTGACTAAATAATTTACATACAAAATAGAAATCACAATATTATACATTATACATTCGAATACTTCGTAATCTACTTGTGGTTGTGAACGTAAAAGATTATCTTAGTTCATGTGCAAATATTTCTAAATTTTTAGTATTGAAAAAAAATTATTAATGACTTCTAGTCATGATGTAGACGATGGTAGTCTATGCTTTTTGGATATTAACATCTAGATTTTGCAATTTTTTTTCCTATTGAACAGTTGTTGATATTTGCAGTCGTCTATCAAAGTTGACATAAAGAGGTTTAAATATAAATACAATGCAAAAAACGAGAACAACAATACCGATAAAAGCAAAGACATTATAATAATGTCATATGTTTTATGAACTGATTTTTTAGTTCATTGAATTTATGCATGAAAAATATATTGTACTATATTTTAATACGGTTGTCGAGCTAGTTCTACTACTTCATCAGAATAATAAGAGTTTTCATCTTCTTAAAGTCACTGATGTATCTATTTGAGTGAACATCTTTTTTAATAGTTTTCAGATCAAAATTATTGAGATTTTTTGTCCTTGTTAAAATATTTTGTATGAATGATAGAATACGTACTAAAGTTAACGAATAGATTTTCGTCTTAAATGCCCACTCTTGAACCATTTTTCGTACTTATGTCAACCATTTATTTTATTGTATTTATTTTCGAATTTTTTACATTTGCCAATTTTACGTCCATGAAAAAGTCTCAAGAAATAATGGCTGCATTTCACTTGATTATTTTGAGTTTTATGTAATACGAGGAATGAACTAACATGCATAAATTAATTACTTATGAGACATCTCTCTTGATTGTTAATTTTAATACTTCATTTACAACAAATAAACAAATACTTGAATGATATTGAAAACTAAATAAATTCGTGATTGCATTTATATTCTATTATCCTTTCTGAGTGACTGAATCAGCTGAATAAGTTCGACTCAGTAGAAAAAAGCAATCTTCATAATGCTGTAGTATGAGTATTGAATAATGTAAGAACATCAATGATTAGAAGAAGACATTTTAACATCATTGTCTTATCTACTGATTTTGTCAAACGCACATTGACAATCGAATTCTCTATGTTAAATTATGATGAAACTGTCATTTGATATATGGATAAAAAGTCTTCGACAAGTAGAGCATAGTATGAATCCGTATGATTTCAATCAATTTTGTAGGAGAAGATGCAAACTCAGTAACAGAAGGAAAAGAACGAGAGACAACATGCACAGTTCTTCGTACAATTATCATTTATTTACATGATTAATCGACCTATCTATTCCTTTTTTTTTAGCATTCATAATTTTAGTTTGTTGAAATCAAGATTAACATCATTGACTTAGTCTTTTATCTATCTTTTAGTTGTCTTTGACTAAAGCGCTGTCAGAAACTTATACATTTCGTTAAGGACGATTATTTTTCTGAGATTGTTGATCACACAGAGATTTCATAAGACAAAAAAATAAAACAGAAATAGTCAAATGACACTAAGTAGAACAATTTCATCATTGTGTGTTATGAAGAGATCAGAAACGAGAAAACGTACAAGAATATTATGACAAAATAGTGTTTTAAACTTTTGCTGATTTTGAAATTTCTTTTACTTTGGTAAGTATTAAATAGCTTAATTTGCTGTGCATGCTTTCTTATGATATGCACGAGAAGACTAACCTTCAAGACAAATAAATATATACAGAGAGAAAAAAGGAGATTAAAAACAAAATAATGACAAAAGTGTAAATAGCGACTATCATCCTTCATTTATTCACCGTTAACTCACCTCTAATCTTAAGAGGGAATCACTGTAACTAGTTTTGAATTTTCGAGTTCATCTTTTACCTCTGTGTGAATCTTGATGGGACTAGAAAAAATTCTATACGTGTTCTTGCTTGTGGTTCTTCTTTACTGCAAGCAAATGAAAGATGCACAAAATAAATCATTCAGTTTTAAGTTTTCACGATCATCAAATTTAATATCAATGTGTCTAATTTTTCCAGAAGCGTCAAGCAAATGATTAGGCAGTAAGATAAAGACCTCTGAATGCTAGGAAGTCCATATTCATGAAAAAAATTAAAAAAATGCAAGGAAAAAACCTACAGGTTGTCTTCTGAACTCGAAAAACGGCTTTTTCGTGTATGTAACTGGAAAATACTACCATATAAGATTATTAAAGAACCTGACATCTATCAATAAAAACTTAGTAGTACCCTCTATTACCAGTACAAAAATCAGGTCATTCAAAAGAAACATAAGCGAGACATACGATTTTTTATTGGTAGGTGACTTTCGGGATACTCTGTAAATAACTGTTATATCGTCAAACAATACTGCATATATAGACTTGGTTAACTCTAATTGAACCGAATAGAGCAGCAATAGAACATGTAAATCCGTGTTTTGGTTTTAAGTCATGGAATTGAAATGATTTTCTTACATTCTTCAACTAGTATAAGTTGCATCTTTCTTGTAAAACTCTAAGTGCATCATCATACTTATACAAACTTTAGTTATCTTAATCGATTGGCTTTTTTCTCAACGCATAGAAATCATAGATAGCGGGAGCAATCTATTGATTGACACAGTGAAAGAATGAGAGAGAAACTCTTGTGCTTGACATTTACCGATGCAATGCATGTTCGAATAGATTCTGATTGAAATATGTCTATAATCAATCGCGCTATCTTTTCTAAGACAAATCGCTACTTGCTCTAACAATGATGAAACTATTTGACCTGTAGATTACCGTTTTTCTCTATAGATTAGCCTATTATGGGCACATTCAATCGCTGTTGTTCCCGCTCGTCTTAGATTAGAGTTCAACTATACTTGCGCTGCAATTGGTGTTCATATTCCACATGTATTCTCATACGATTCGTTTAATGAGTAATCCAATATGATTATTTCTTGTTCTTTTTTTTGTCGTTTTCGCCTTATCCATGTCTACTCAATAGGGACGAGTTTAAAGCAAAGACAAACAAGCCACGCGCTTGATTAACGACACACATTGACACTACATATAACTTCAAACAAGTTTCCTCACAATGATGTCAATTATATTTGCAAGTCTCTTTGTAATCACCATTCTTCTGATTTATATGTATTTGAAACGAGGTTACTCTCCATCACCGGATGATCTACCAGGAGTGAAACCACATATTATTTTTGGTAATCTTATTAATTCCGGTATATTGACGAGAAAATCAACATTTCATCAAGTCTTGCTCGATTATCAACGTCGTTTTGGAGATAAATTCCAGTATTGGTTCGGTTCGTATCGATGTTTAGTTTTTTGTCGAAAAGAACATGCTCAAATAATATTTGCCGATCGTCATACTTTCGAACAATCGCCATTATTTGTTCCAAATTTCGATCTTCTTTGCCCAAATGGAATTATAATGCTAACTGGTGCTAAATGGAAACGACATATGCGAGTTCTATTACCCATGCTCAAACGAGCAAAGATGATTGGTCATTTGGAGACGATTGTTCGATGTGCTGATCGTTTTATTGATGAAAATCTGCATCCTGGTCAAGTTCATCGAGATCTGATTTCATGCTGTCAATCATTTACGATAAATGTTATCGGATTAATTGGATTCGACTACGATTTCGATATTCATGTTAATTCACTAATAAAAAAAGCTTTTCATGATTTCATGTTCTATGCCATATTGCTAATGACGACACTGTGGGTGCCTCGATGGTTATGGAAAATGTATTTCCGATGTAATTGGAAATATCAACGAGCCTATCGATTGCTTCATGAATTGGCAGAGAAACTAGTCGAAGAAGAGCAAAACAAACAAAGTGAAAACGAAAATCAACGACCGAAGAATCTTATAGCTTCATTGGTGTCGTCGTTGAATGAACAAGCCAATGATGAACATGCTTCATCTGGTCTAACACGTGCAGAGCTGTTCGACGAAGTTTTGATGATGATTCTAGCTGGTTATGAAACGACATCAACTGCTCTATCATGGTTCATATTTTTCGCAAGTAAAAATCCTCGAGTGCAGCAACGGATGAAAGACGAATTGCGTGAACACCATCTTTTAATGCCCGATAATCTCAAATGTATACCTCCCCTTACGCCAGACAATTTAACTTCACTATCCTATTGTGAATGTGTGACGAAAGAGGTAGGTTTCGTCTCGATATGCTAGATTATTTTGGTAATATTCTTCTTTGCATCTAGGTGTTACGTTTGGCTCCTGTTGCTGCGCTCACAACTCGTATAGCTACTTGTGACACTATCGTTGACGATGTGAAAATTCGTCAAGGACAAACTGTTTTTATTGCTTTAAATAACATTAATACTGATGCTCGCTATTGGCATCATGCAGATCCTCAACAATTTGTACCGGAAAGATTTTTAGCTGAAGATCAAAATCATCATCCATTAGCGATGATTTCATTTGGTGGTGGACATCGGGCGTGCATTGGACAAGAATTAGCTTGGCTTGAGTTGAAAACGATCATTGTTCGAATGATGCAACGTGGTATCACATTCGAAGATACACCGGAAAATACAGGCGGTTATGACGAACGCATTACATGTTTTCCGAAAACATTGGCAGTGCGTGTGCGATTCGATTGAGCTTAATATTGTTCATTAATGAGACTAGAACTGTAAACCAAAAGCTGCTCAATTCAATTTGAATACTTATTATCTTGTGTAGATGCTTGCTTATTCATTTGCATGGAATCTATGGTGATATTTTAATAGATGCTAGAATATGCAGTGCTTGATCTGTTTCAATTCTGATTTCGACTATCTCCCCTTGTTTTGTAAAAGCTGATTACCAACCGATTGGATGAGAACTTTTTGTAGAGTGAAAATTCCATTCATAGGAACCTTATTCTGGATATTCATTGATTATCTTTTATCCACTCCAACATAGAGAATACAATGAAGATCAATACAAAGAAGTTTTGGCAGTTCTAGAGTGCAGAAGCGATTCTGATTCGGATTAGCATTGCTTCTACTTAAGAAACGCTGTTGGTCGCATTCGAAGAAATGAAGAGAACACAAAAAAAAAGAAATTCAGACGGTTGAATAAACTGCACTAAAGTCGTCTACTTATGTACTTTAGTAGTGTCGTATCTCACAGTTAGTGAAGAGCAGACATCAATTGCTGCTTTGAATCACCAAAAATCGTCATTCACATAACTGCTAGACTCCAGGTGCATTCTACCTTTCGCACTATTATCACAGGACGACGACAATCTCTTCTTATTAATGAAGTGTGATGGTGGAGGCGTCCTTGAGCATGATCAGTGTTACTATGAAGTGAAGACTAAAGATATTCTTGATATTCACAGCCATCTTTCAAACATTTTCAAATGAATAATTAAGTAGTCTAATTTGAAATGTCTATTTCATAATGATCTCACTTTCTTGGTCCGAATTTTAACTCAACTATCATAGTAATAGGTTCAATTTTCCTCGAAAAAGAACTGTTAGAATGTTTTTTAGTTTCTTTCTTTCCAACGCCTATGATCTGGATCCAAACATGTCTCTTGAACAAAAGCTTTCGAGATATTGTACCAAAAATGTTTCATTGGAGGCTGCATCTTAACATGAAATCGATTTCAAATAAAACAGAAATAATTGAATAATTGAAACTAAGAGCTTCATAAAACAAGTATCACAATGGTGGTAGTTTCCCAGTGCACTTTGCTCCTCGGATAGAATATCATTCTATCTTTTATTAGAACACTATGAATTACTAGAAAACCTTGAATCACACTATGAAATAGAAAATGAAAATCTCTAGTCTGAGTGATGAAATAGATCGTATCCGAGTATACAACCTTTTTTTGGATTATTTGCTTATCATACAATAGATTTTTATAAGCTGATTAAGAATCTCTTTTTTTTGAATTCATTGGTACGATTTTTTCCCGAAAACCATTTCGATGATTTCGAGTGGCTGTTTTTTTCTAAAAAAGAACAGCTATTTTTCCATTAAAACGAAATAATTCACCAGTGTCCCATCTCAACTACATATTAATTTTCAGTTTTATCTTTTGTCTTCATGTAGGTCTAAGTGAGATAAAAAGAAAACGTTCTAGAAGTGTTTGTGCTTATGCCTCTTGATTACCGAGAGACCATTTAAATAACATCATAAAAAATTGTTTTTTTCGTTTTTGAAATGTATATTCTTCGTGTCATCAAAACAATACTAAGTAAATGTTGATATGACCGGTACGAACTATAGTTTATTAGCTGCAGTAACTTTCGATACATGGTTATGTAAACGATTAGTATATACACGACGTGCACATGGGCAACAAAGATTGGTATTCGATCGTTCACCTCTTCTCTATTAGTTATTGTTTATCTTTGATATCAAAAGTCATCAAATTTCATAGAATTATAATTTAATATTTTCAATGCAAGCAGAGCGATGAATTTGAAGTTGTTGCAGCAAATAAGCTAATATTCAAGCTGACTATATAAACACTTAGATCTCTTTTCATGACACAAAACGTATACATGTCACAGATGAAAAGAAAATCTTTTTTTTTCATGTTATTACTTAGATAATATGTCGATAATGAAGAGCTATAAGCAAGGACACTTGTGGGACTTTCTTAGTCTGACTAAAACCTACATGAAGTCAAAAATGAAGTCGAAAGCTCGGAATCAGTCGGCATGGTTTCCTGATTGGTCATCTATTCTAATAGAGAAACTAGACTTCTTTAATATACTCATGCAGTCGAAGTTGAAAAAATGTTACCCTGAATTTCTATTTTAGGTCACACCTAACTACGCTAGTAGAATGCATTTCTTCCTTTTATGCTAGTTGTGTATCTGCTTTTTAGCAACTACATAATCAGTCGTGAATACATATTACTTCACGATGCAACATCAACGCTATTTGATAATAATGACTAATATGTTATGTGAATTTTTTTCAATAAACGAACCAATCAATGAAATCCCCATTGTCATTCACAAAAAAACGATTAATTCGGGTCATACTTATAGTGTTGTTCCACTATTAGAAATGGAAAGATTTATTGATCGAAGTACGACTGATAACAGTAATGTTTCTCATCTTTTACATCATATCATTTTGACTATTGCCTTTTTTTTTGATCAAATTAAAATGTATGGGCTGTTTTAGAAAACAGCAAATTAATTAATATCTGACATGTTGACAATGATGCTTTCGTCTCACAATTAAAATATAACTTGGGATATTTACCAATGAATAACGCTTGAAATTTTGCGTCTAGTGAACCTCATTCTGAACAAAAATCTCAATAAAATAAATGTTGGAAAAATGAAGTCAAGTCTAGCTTTGATACATATTTTGAACTTACTTAAGTTATATAGCATTTACTACATCTTCATCAAATATAAACTTTTCCGAACATATATTTCTTTCAACCTTTGGCTCAGAACGGAACCCAGTATACTTAAAATCTCAAGCGCGATCGACTGATATAAGTCCTTTTTGTGGTTTTTGTCCGTTTTTAGCATTCTGTAAGATGAATTCTGGGAAATTCTAGAATCTACTTCGACTTTTATTTCATGTATTTAACATAATGTCTAGATTTTAAATTCTAAGCAAAGCAAAGCTAGAGTCTCTCTCGTCAAAAGAAAGACAATTTTCATCAAAACTCAGATAATTGCATGCAAAGAGAATCCAAGGTCTAATCTTTCATAAATAGCATGATTGTTTTTTTGGTACCTTGTGTTTTTCAAAAATTTCAGTCATTTTCTGCTTGAGAAATATGTTTTTTTTTTCAGATGAGGCGTAAAATTTTAAAAGAGCTTCATTGTGATCAGAGACTTTTTTTCTTTGAAAGACCAGGCCAAGGTGCAGGGGATGGCAGAGTCCGTCTTTTGAATTAAACTTTGTTACTATTATATAGAAGAGTACTTGCATAATTATAGTGCCATTTTCTGAAAATTTTTGAGACATTGAAGTTTTCATCTATATTCTTCTCTTATGAATCAAGAATATAAAAGAAAGCTCTGTCATGCCCTACATCCTAACATAGTCTTCCAAATGAGAACAACATTAAGTCTATAAAATGAGAGTCTGCAGTGAACTTTGGTTTGCCTCATGAGCTATTTTTTGATATTTATTAGCTGAATATTTCCAGAGAACAGAATGGCATAGGACTGGTAATTTTATCATAGTCTTTTCACTACAGTTCAAACAGATCTTGAAAGTTTCGTGCGATTCGAATAAACCTAGGTCAAGATCGATTTTTGAGAGGAGATCTGCACAGATTTTTCAAGATTATATATATACAAGACACTATCAGCTCTAATTATCATTAGATAATCAATAGGATTACATGCCATGGTCAATTTTAATAATTGCTAAGTTCATCGCAATATAATAAGAATTTCTTAAACACCATATAGTATTCACTTATGTACACATGTCAATACTTCATAATTTATCTGTCAATCTACGGATGTTTTACTCAACTATATTAACAGCAAGAGAAATAAAAACAATTGAATAATAAATAAGAAAAAATAAATATATAGTCATACAATAAAAAGAAAAGATAGAAAAAGAAATTGAAAGCTAAATGCAAACAATTCATGTACTTTATAGGTTTTCAATATAAAAGAAAAAGAAAACGTCATACTATAATCCTATTATATTTCCATTATTTTTGTAGAGAAAATGGGAACATTTATCCAAACAGATTGTATATTGCAGAAACAAAAAAGACAAATAGAGAAGATTTCATATAAATGTTAATCGTTTTACACATTTTAATTAAAGATTAGTTGTCGATCCTTGTCGATCTAGATAAGAAAAAATAATCCCTAAATAAAACAAAAAAGAACACTTACCAATAAAATCAACACTTTTAGTATTTGTATCAAGTGCTTGTGAAAATTCTGTTTCAGAATTCATGTCATTAATAATAGGTTCAATATGCACAATAGCTGGTAATGTTCGTAATGTTATTGGATAATTTCGTTCATTATACCAACGTAAAGATTTTTTATCAAGCACAAGTAATTCAAGATCATGATGTTCCATGTGTAGTTTTATTTTATTTAATATTGTTTCATAAGTTAATGTTTTAATATTTGTACCATTGATTTCAATAATATGATCACCATCACGTAATCCACAAAGAGCTGCTGATGAATTCTTTTTTACATCAGAAATAAATACTCGACTAAACAAAGAAGTGTAATATTACTAAAGAAATAAAACGAATCTTACCCTAATTTTTTTCGATCACCACTCAGAAAGAAACCGTAGAAAGGTGATGAAGGAATTTTTCGAATACGACAAAGTCTTCCAACAGGTGCATCTTTTATACAAATATTCAATAGATTGGTACCTGAGTTTTCTAATTATCAATAAATAAACTGAAAATTGAATAGAGAAGTAAATTAAGCAAAACTTACTTGTCGATGAAATTGAAGTAAGTTTTGTTGTATGAAGATCTTTAGGCGAAGCAGTAATTCCTGAATATAAAGTTTATATATGTATATATGTATGATTGCATCGTATAAAAAATCTATTGTTTATTAAAACCTGTACTCAGTGTTGGTAAACTTCCATAGAGACCGCGATCAACAAGCTTATTTGAATTTTCTGATTGACCCTGTAAATTAAGATAATTTGAACTCATTGTTTGTTGACTAAGACCATCAAACAGACTAGTTGTACGATTTTTATCCGACAAATCATGACTCAAATCAGTTGTTGTCTGTTTTGAAATCATTAAATTATTATTATTATTATTTGTATTATTGTTATTTAATAAATTATCAATATTTTTTCCTTTATTTGTGTCAATTGATGATAGATAAACATCATTGGAACGACTATTAACAACATACATTTCAATTGTGTCGTTAGTTTGCATTGCAGAAATAATTATATCAACGACCTGAAATCAAAGATTACTCTCGTTATCAAATTGAGTATAATAGATGGATCATCAGTTTTGAGATAAAACGCTTATTTATTTTTGATTACCTTGAAAGCGTTTTCGAGAAGTCAACGCTTTAGTTTATGACCAAAATTTTGTGCTCTTTCTAAATATAGACTTAGAAATGTTCTTGAAACTAATCAGATGATTTTCGAAAAGATCTAAAAGGTTGCTTGGATCGAAAACTGTCTTGTACATTTTTGTACTTTGATTGTTGCCGGTGCAAAGTAAATGTTGACATCTTTCTTAACATATCAGTTTGTAGATCAAAAACTACCCTACGAAAAGTATTATTGGAATTCTTTTTTCCTACAGGGCTCTTCAATTTTCGTTTCTTTTAAATCGTCAACTTTGACAATTTGACCTTTTGACTAAAAGGTGTTATGTATAAAAAGGAGCTCTGGGCAAATTGCATATAGTTTCACTTAGGTAAAAGCCACAGCGTATTTCAATATGAAACTTTGTAAAGAAATATTTGCTTGATAACACAGTTGACTTCAATATTTTTTGGCGCCTTCGAATCGTAAACTTAAAGTCTATTGGTTAAATATTTAATCAAATTTGTTGGGCTTTTAAAAAACTCTTTTAATAGTCTCCAACAAAAACTGAAATAATATTTTTAAGTGTATATCCGGAAAATGATTAATAGGCTGGTCCTAATCTATAGCTGTTGATTCCAGGGAAATACTTTGCAGAGAGTCAAAAATGACCAAATACTTTTGTCTCAAAGCTTTCAATCCATCCATTATGTAAACTTGAAAATATTTCGTTTATTAATTATAGAACAAAGTTAAGCACAAACCTGTTCATATTTAATATTGTGTACATAGATACCATTAATTTCGACTACTTCATCATTGACTTGTAAACCAGCAAGATCAGCTGTAGAATTCTATTTATTAAAAATAAAAAATAAGAGAATTATAGCCATTGTAATTCACATTGTTTTATGAATACGAACTTTTTCAACAGCAGTAATGGTATGATCATAATCATTAGTGGCACTAAGAATAAAACCAAGTCCTTTATTAGGTTCTATTTTAAGCACACAACGACGAGGATCTCTAATATAATCATATGATGCACTAGATTGATTTGAACAAACTGTATTGCATGATTGTGAAATATGACGAACTTGTTCAGAAAGATTTTCATTATGGTGAATAATTGGTAGTAATGGTGTTAGTGTTTTTGAATTATTTATTCGTTGGAGAGGAATATCATAATCGGCTGTTAAAAAAATAACACAAAGTAATTATTAAATTATATTCCATACATCTTAGTTCAAAATGTATTAATTGCTAAAGTTTTTTTTTTTTTTAAATTGTCTCATTGTTGAAACATAAACTTTTAAAAGCATTGATTAAAGTTATACATATTCATAGTATAAAATTAAGTTTTATTATAAATAAATGAAATTGAGCAAGCAAAGTAATCTAATCTTGAATAGTTAAATAACCTACTGTGCTTGTGCTGTTTCTAAACGTATGTGAAGGTATCAATTTTGTAAAAATTGATCTTTATCTTTATCTACAATAGGCTTAGTAATATGAAGTACTAGCATGCATTTATACTATATACAATATAAAAGAAAAGTAAAGGAATGACACTACATTTTGTTCAACAACCACAATAGTGCAAAGATCAACATAACTACATGCAAATAAAAAAAAGAAGCTGATCACAAACGTTTAGTTGATTTTTGCGATCCAACATGTTGAAAAAAATTATCGATTGTATGTGATATAAAATCTTTTATTGATTGATCAGATGATGTTTGACTTTGTTTTCGTTGTTTTCTACTAGATACATTTTGATCTGTTAAAGAAACATTTGTTGGTTGTGTTGAATTCAATACATGATCAATAGATGTTAATGGTGTTTCGTGAGTAGAAGAAGTATGTTTTGTTGTATCAGATGGATTATTCGGTAACGAAATATCAGAGTTAACTGTTGATTGAATATTAGGCGAGATTGCATCATCTTCTTCATTCTCAAATGTTACTTCTTTTTGTGTACAAAGACGATGAACATTAAATGAAGATATACCATGATTTAGTCGTTCTGTACTATCTTGTGACATAAGTGAAGATGTTGTAGCTGTTGTAGGTAATTTTAGAAAACTTGTAGATGGTTTACTTTTTGGAAAAATATGTTTCACTTTAATATCAGGTTCTTTGAATTTTTTGTGTGTTAGTTTACAATAATCAAATACTTCTTTGTCAACAACAAGAATTTCTAATCGACCATCATGTTTAGCTTTTTCGATTGCTTTTTTAACTTTATTAAATCTTAAACCTTTTGTTTTGTGATCATTTATTTTTAATAATATATCTCGTATTTGTAAACCAGCACGTTCACCTGGTAATTTTGGTTCAACGTGTGATATTATTGGATATTCATATTGAGGATCTTCAGTTATTTCAAAACCAAATGTTGTTGCCGATGTACCATCAGTATTTGTTGCATTTAAATGACAAAGTCGTAATGTATAAGATAGTTCTTTACTTCGTTTTCCTAAAAATACATAACCTATTCGATATAGAAGCAAACCATATAATAAATTAAATGCAACTCGCCTCGAACATGCCCCATATTCATTTTCTTCTTCATCGAAAAGAAATTTACCTCGATTTTAAGTAACGTATGAAAGAAGAAGTGATTTTCATTTGAGCTTAGACAATGTGTAAAAAATAAAATGAGTTGACTAATCCTTCATTCATTCATTCACTACCGTATTAGCTTGAAGAATAGTTTACAATACAAAACAAAGAAAGAAGAATGATTTAAAACATACCAATATTGATACAACAGAATAAGAAGATAAGAAAAAGAATAAACATGACAAAAAAAAAACTATTTCTATACGATGACATTTGTTTGTATCAATAACTGATGATTAAAGTTTAAAGTACAAAAAGCTAGGCAATTAAAATGTGACACACAATAAGGCTAGTTTTCGTTGTAAATGAGAAGATTTTTATTCGTTTTTTTACTTACTTTGATACTCTTGTACAACATTTATAGCACCATGGTTTGCTTCTTCTTTGCCACTGCTTCGAAGATTGTTATTCCCACTACTATCACTTGCTGATGATTGACTTTTCTTTTTTGTTTCATATTCTTTTGATAATGATTGCTCATTAACAACAAATTGAACGATTTTGTGTTGAAGTGCTTCTGTAATTATCTGAATAGTATCTTTATAATTTGTTTCAATAACTGATTTTCCATTAATAGATAAGACTGTATCATTAAGTCGTAAACCAGCTTTTTCTGCTGGCGAGTTTTTTTCGATTTTACAAATGGTAAATGGTGGTGGACCAATATTACTAATTGTAAAGCCAGCTGCACAACTATTCGATGTCTCTAACTGACAAACACGACTGCCGATAGGGAAAGAAAGTATTGATGTTTCACATGGAATATTCGATGGATGATGATCAGCAGAAAGAAATTGCTGTTCAGCTAAAACAAATCATATCAAGAATAAATGTTTCATAAAATTAATATATATATCAGTTTCTATAAGTTAAATATAGGAATATTAGATTAGGATATTGACTCTATCATAGTGTACAAGACGGAAAAATACAATGCAATTCAAAGAAAAATTAAAGATGCGTTATTATGTAAACATACTTTGTTTTTTATTTTTATCGTCTTCATTATTATTTAATAGAATAGTTTTCCAATCAATATGGTTTTTTTCTTGATAGTGTTTATATCTTTTTATATCATTTTTATTAATTAGTATTAAATCAATAAATTGATTTGAACTTGCAACTGTTTGAATAAGGGTTTTAATATTACTATGTTTCATTCGTTCAACATTCTTTTTATTAACAAACAAAACCACATCATCAGTACGTAAACCACTATTATAAGCTGGAGAATTAATTTGAACTGAATCAATTATATGCAAATTATGTTTATAACATAATAAAAAACCTAATGTATTCTTGGTGGGTTCTTTTTTTATAATACAATGTTTTATATAAACTGGACCTTGATCATCAATAAATAGAACACTATTTAAATCATTCAATAAATGTTTAGATTGTTTTTGCTCCATAGATTCATTATTTGATGATGATGATGAATTCATTTTATTTTGATTATATTTAATCATTTCAATTAGTTTTAAATATTTTGGATCATGAATAACTGTTAATTGTAATGCTGTTTTATTCAACATCATACATCGAACATCTTCATGTATAGTATTTGTTACGTCTAAACCATTAACAGTTAAAATACGATCACCATCACGTAAACCAGCTTCGTAAGCTATTGATAGTGGTTGAACATTACTTATAAAATGTATTTGAGTTTGATCATTACCAGGTAAAAATGAATTAAAATCTAATCCTACTGCTTCTTTTAATACAATATGACGAATGTTATCTTTATTAGTATCATCGACTTGTAAATTTGCTTTTTCTTCATACATCGGTTGTTTTTCATTTTTATGTTCAGTTATATTTAATAAACTACCAAATAATAGAGAATTTGTATTATCATGTGTATTATTAGTTGTTAATGCAAATGCTTGTTGATTATCAACGATCGGTAACGATTTGGCTGGTTTCTTTCGAGCGATGGGCATATTAATAAAGGTTGCACTATTTAACAATCGATATCTTGTGAAACTTCATACAAATTAGTTAAACGTATATCATTATCTTCAACTTTAAGACAAAGTATATAAAATTTTGATTGTTCAACTAAAACTCTTATAACTTATTGTAATGGATCAGTTTGTTTAGTTAATTTAAAATTAATTGATATCTTTCAACTTGATTGTATTAGTTTTATATTGTGTAATTCATAATCATGATCGATTTATTTTGATATTGGTAACGTAGCTAAAAATTAAAAAGAAAGAAGAAGTTAAACCTTTGAATTCTGAGGTGGAAATAAGCAAAAAAAATAAATTATCAATGTAGACAACGTTTATTTGTTAGTATACAGATCATATAGAGGTGTTTGTATATGTAGGTAGGGACCACCGAGTTTATTTCCTGTTGGTGATAAAGGAGTTGATTCATTTTCAATATATTGTTACTATGTATTTGATGTATCTGCATCATTTAAAGTATTATTAGATATTTAAAATATACTAAAGATAACTTAATGTTCTATTTGCGTATAAGCATTGGAATGTTCTATATTTTTAGTATGATCTATTCTCCCTATATTATTTGATAGAATTAATGTCTTTTTTTCTTTCAAAGTCTGAACATGTTGACGTGACGAATCATGTTTTTGTTATGTTTTAGATCAAGGTTTGATTTATCTTCTATTTTACTTGATTATTCTTCAATTTAAAAGAATCTGATATAGATGCTTTCATTGGACCGAAAATTGGTTGCTCTTTTTTTTTTGTTATTTGCATATTCGTTAATGATATTACGTGAAATTTTAGTAATACCTAAATCAGTTCGTTATACATTATGAAACTTTTTTGATGATAGAAATAGGTAACCTTTATTAGCATCAATAAACACAATCGGAGGTAAATATTTTACTCATTCAGAATATTTAGTCTTTGTATGGAATTCATAAACGTATGTTCATTTCTTTTAGTTTAATGATAGTTTATTCTAATGAAATTATCATAAATAAAACTTACTTAAATGAAGATTGGATTGAAATATTGAAGAATAATCTAAAAGAACGGATTGTATAAAATCAAAGTAGTTATTTCCTCTAGTAATGATATTGAAAAACTATTTTCTAATAATATTTTTTATTGATACCTTTTGATCGTTTTCCAACATAAACTTCGACAAAGACGATTGATGGTTTTTTTTTTCTTGTTAGTTCTACTCGTACAAATTTTCATGAAATGAAGTAGATTAGTAAATCTATTCATCAATTGAAAAGTGAAAAAGCGTTTTTTGAAACATCAATTAGTATGACAAAAGATTTTCTCTGTTCAAGTGAACAGCACTTGAATATCTCTGGGTTAGTATCTACTAGTAAAAAAAAATTTAAACGAAATAAAATTCATGCAATTAGTAAGCGTTAGACTGTATTCGTTTTTAGTGGATAAATATGATTAGAATTGTACTTGATGTCTTTATCAACAAGATAAAAACTGAAAAAAACTTGTTATTCTATACATAATAATATAGAAATAGTATTTAAGAAGAAAATACACAGTAGACAAACCTCATTTCCAACTGTTGCACGTAAGCGATGATTGAACAGGTATAATAGATATAATATTTAGAATATTTTCATTGTGTTTTAGTGATGATGAAGTAGTATTAATATTAATACGATACTTCGAAAGAAATAACAGCATCATTTGGTGCACCATTACATGCTTTTGTTTCATTCGTATCTATAGAAACAGATATCTTTCATATTTCCATCAATCTATTTAACAATTTTGTCTGTAAACTTGTCTTCGACCATAAATAAATCAGAATTTTTTTTCATGTTTTATTACAAATGGATTAGTATATGTTTGTGTTGAATGATCATCATATTGCTCATCTGTTATTGTTGATAGTGTTTCTTGTTATTGAAGTTATTCATAATTATATTTATGATAAAGTTGTTCATGTTTTTCTATAGCTTCTATAAATCCTATGTATACGTTTTATGGCTGAAAATCGAGATTTTCTCGACATTTTTGCTTGTTGGATCATTTTGTCTACACGCATGCTATAAGATTCACTATTTATGAGTATCTAATTCTACATATATACTTATCATTCTTTACATTTATAGTTTCTGTTGTGATATATAGAGTTTTATGAAAACCTGTCGCTTAAAGCACCATATTCTTAGTTGTAGGACTATAGATGTGGATAAAATGTCAAAAATGGTAAATTCTTTCTAGTAGGACATTGCTATCAGCTTTTGAATTTTTTGATTAATGATAAAAGTAATACTTTTACAGCTAAAAATGCAACTTTGGGTATGATTCCTAATGCCATCGTAGACTAGTGCACTGGTCTAGACATGTACATATAGAATAATGGTGAATACGGTGAATACATGAAAAACCTACGATGGTCTTATCTTCATTTTGACTTTTTCGATTGGAAGAGGTGTATTGCATGGATATAGCTGAATTTTATAGAGGATGACCAAACCGCTAGAACTAGGCATTCCTCAAACGCGAAAATTGAACTTCAGAATTTCAACAAACCTCCTATAAATTGGGATTTCCGGACTATGAAAATCTTTAGTCTATTTGTAAAAGATTCAGTTATTTTCGTGAAATGATCGTCTCAACGGAAAAAATGTTTTTAAATAAATAAAGAAAGAACACAATAAATACCTTTCTCTTCATCTATACATGTACCTTTTTTTGCTCGAATAACAATATGCATACATTTTGGTGGTAGTAATAATGGCAACAGAAAATAAAGTATTAGAAAAAAGACAAAGAACAAAAAAATAAAGTTTCTTGATGGCATGAATAAAAGCAAAAACATTTCATTTGATTGTTTTCGTCTTTATTACTATCATTAGCATAACTTTAACATGATCAAAGGGCTAGTATTGATGATGATGCAGTTGTCGATAAAATATTTATGACTATCATTCAAATGTCTTTTTTCTTGTAACCTTTATTTTGTTCGTCTTTGTTTTGATATTAGACAGAGATATAACACGTATTATTATAAGCATATACACTTATACAAGTACAAATAAACAACGAAACAATGAGATTTGTCTCAATACTATTTTACGTAATTCTGTTATTCGTTATTTTTCCTATTTTATACAGTTGTATTTTTCTGATGAACATATAATCCATAATTAGTTGATATAATTGAATAATTTTTTAAATGCTAAACAACTTAGTAATGATCTTCCAATATCAGTTTCATAAATTGATCACTTATCAGTGAAGAAGACTAGCTAAAAAAAAGCAATACTTTAATCCTACAAATATTTTTTTTGTTTGTACTTAAACTACAAAATCAAGAGTTAGACTGAATTACAATCTATTGTTATTTTTTGCATAACTGTCTATTCATAGTTGGAATCCATTTTATTGTTAATCATACACAATTCAGTTTGTTGTTTTTTGAATTAATCATAGAGTAAGGCAAATTTAATATCAATTTCATCATGAATTCTCTTGCGTCGTCGTAAATGAGTTTGGCTTCCTTCAGTGACATGATGTTTATCCTCATGTTCATCCCGTAATATTTCAATAAGCTGATATATACATATGACAATGCGTAGCGAATTGTGCTTTCATTCATCAATTTTTATCCTCAATATGGTTGTTTTTTTCGAGAAAGATAACTGACAATTAGGGACAAACCGGTGGTAAACCTTTACAGAGTAGGAATAATGAGTAAACCAAGACTATCAAATATTGTTAAATTATTTTTTTCTTATTATACATAGAATTAGAGTGTGAACATTTTATTTGAATAAGAAAGTTCTTGTTTAATTTTTTTTTATTAACATTGTTTGACAAACAATAAGTATATGAAAATAGAATTCAGGTAGTTTTTAAGATAACCAATTGAATATCGGTTGTATTTTTTGAAATTACCAGACATATTTTAGTCATGACCATATACAATATATTTGTCTTTGTCTACTGAATGTTGATACTTTCATGGAATGAATCTATCTTACATTGCTTGTCAAGAAAAATACTTACTACGGTTTTCCTTTGATAGAGACTGTGTTAATCTGCATTAATACGAAATCAGAACATTGTACCTGTCAATAATGTTTTGTTTATATATGTTTGCGTAATGTCTCTCCTGTACTTAGAGCTGATTATCGGATTATTAGTCTTCTTTTCTATTGTCGTTTGAGACACTATAGATGTGTTTCATTGAAAATAAAAAGAATAAGAGTTGTTTGTATAAGTCTTGTACTGTTACTTCAGTTTTATATGTACAATAATAACACATAAATGAATTTGTTCGGTCATCTTAACAAAGATTATAGAAGGTCAAAACATATCGTCTCTTTTTACTTCACACATATGATGTGTATTGATCATTGGAGACGAATAACATGAAAATTTGTCTATAAATAGTTATTTTTCGTGCTTGACAGAGTAAAGCCAGAGATTCTTTTAATTAAATCAATAAAGATAATACACGGACAAAAATCATTATCTATATTTTTAATAATTTCACTCTAAGGAGCTGATTGTAATTCTTTGACAATGAGAAGAAACAGACCACTAAAAGAGAAATTCAGGACGGTCAGTATAATCATATTATAGTAACAAAAAGGTACATTTTTTTCTTATAGAGAGAGAAGGGATATTTAGTCTTAGCCTTTATGCATGTATCACTTTTCTTAATTTATGTGAGAAATTTTTTTTCTCACAAATAATTCTATTTATTTATTTCATCTAACACTAAAAAGCAATTGAATAGAATGTTTGCAATTTGTTATCACTTTTGCATTTTCTGTTTCATCATGATACTATCTTGTGAGTTCATCCAAATGTCACGAAAATCAATCTCACGAAGGACAAAATGATCATCTCATGATTTCTCTAGTGACGATTGATGATAACACTTCTTTGATTATTCATGAGTCGATAGAATATTTCATGTGGTTAAGACCGAATATCCATTCCTAGAAACATTTTCTTAATAATGGTACAATAAACCAGTATACATGGTTTAAAAAATTAGCGAACGATTTCATCAGATAGCTTAACTTTGCGCTAAGCGATATTACATAAAAATAAACAAAAAATTATAAGCAAACAAAGGCTGTGGAGTAAAAAATGAGTTTTAAAAAGAAACTCTACTGTATCATCTGAATGTCACGTAAGATGTATTTGTTTTTTAGTTTATGATTTATTAGATCATCTTATTCTAGGAATATACTAGTTTTTGCATATAAAATTTTATTAAATCTACAATAGTAATTACTGCAATGTCACTTGAACGAGACATTCGACTTTAATGAGTTAATATGAAAATTATGTAAGAATTCATTTTGAAATAGCGATTAGTGATCATGAAGCATGAGTCATAAATCAATTCTACATTATTTGACTTGTGTATGTACGGTAATTCGCTGTGTAAATGCTTGAATAGTAAGGCCGTGTGTTCATCATAGGCAAAAATAGTGATAGTTTTCGTATAAAGAGTTTGACCTCATTAAAACAACGTATAAAGCAATAAAAATTTCTCCAATTATCTTTATAAAGTTTCAACATAACTTTTTCATATTAAATATTTATTTCAATTACAATATCTATTCTTTTCCGTTTCAAACTAATACAGAAGGAATTTAAAGAACAAGTAATTGTTATTAAATAGTTCATCTTTATTAAAGTTTGGCACCTTTACATGCTTCTTGAATACTTCGAGCAGTATCAGTAAAACCAACTTTTGTATCAGATCCATCATTAAGTTTACCCGCTTCGCCACGAGGTGCATAAATTAAATTCTCTTTACGTAGATTTGTAGCAAGACATTTGACTTGCGGAATTTTTTCACCTTCTTCTACAAATATAAAATACATAAGTATAATATATGTTTTTTTAAATTATAATTAAACTTACTAGTAAGACACATATGATTACAAACTATTTTTTTTCCAGTTTTATCCATAATAATAAATGTAAGTTGCTTGCCAGCATTAGCTGCAGTAAAGCTTGATGCTTTTGATGGATCTTTTACTGATTCATAAGATCCTTTGATAGCTAATTTAATCTCGCATTGTTTAGCAATATTATCAATGGTTTTTAATGTTGGAACAAAATCTTTGTGTATATAAATAATATCGCCAACAAGATTTTTACCTTTGCCTTTAACAATCATACATTTCTCTAAATAAATAAATAAAATAAAGTCAATAAACTAATTAAGTCGAATTATAAATTACCCTTCTTAGGTGCTTTAGTTTTTTCAGATGTACCATCCTTTTTTTGTGTAAGTAAACCTTCAGTAGAGAAAACACAAATAACAAGCAATAATGATACAATATTGATTGACTTCATCTTTGAATGATGTTAATAAGAATATTTCTTTTTCTTTATATAGTTCGATAGTTCTCTATATGAAATGTATACTCGACTGACAAGATAAGGCTATACTTGTGTTTCTTAATGATGGTTCTTATTTTACTTTTTTTAATTGGAATCGATAGAATCTGATAGCATCGAAAATGAAATCAGCAACATTTGCCATGATCACATGCAAATGCAAACATATTTAATGGTTATAGTTGTTATCGAAAGAAAGTTGGAGTTTTTCGATCTAAGATTTTAGTAGTATTATACGGAAACTTGTTCTATCAATTATATGCATCTGATCACTTAATTTCTTATAGGTCAGAAAAACCCAAATGAAAAAATGTGTGACACTTCGATTTAAGTGAATTTCGTCATTACTCATGAAACTTTCGCAATTCATTGGACAAACATGTTATTACACAATTACAAGAATATTGCATTGCATGTTGCTTACAAATGTTCAGTATCATAACAAAAATTATTTTTCAAAATAAAATATCCGTTACAAAGAAATAAAAGGAATGTCTAATAAAAAAAAAAGTTTTTATTCATCATCAAATTAATGTTTGAGCTTGTCTATTTTATTCTTAGTGCTATTCATGAATGAACAATTTCTATTCTTTTCACAATGTTTGCATACGATTGAATATAATCTTTAATAGCTATTTAAGATATTCAGTAAACTTTATCTTCATTTAGAATTTCAATTTCTATTATTATTCAAATTATATTCTGTCTCGTTAGACATTACTCATTTCTTTGTTTCAAATCAATCAGTATGATGTATTATTATCAACGACTAAGATTCACCAAAGAGCTGCATAAAAAAATATAGTACAGTAACTCATGATTTTCCTTAGCGGTGAAATAATATCCATGTTTCATTGAAAATTTGATTATTGGAATAGTGTGGAATATGATAATTGTTAAACATTTCAATCTCTCTTAGATTCTTAACTAAGCAATTATTTTCTTACAAACAAAATTCAAAAAGTTAAATATTCTAATATTTATTTTATTTTTATTAATCATTTATCAGCAAACATATACAAATCTTTTGTCTAATTCTTATTGAAATTATGTTATAAGAATTAAATTTAAGCAATATTAATGATATTTAACTTAATATTGAACGTTTTGAATTGATCATTTAGCAATTAAAAGTTCGAATTTCCATCTAATGCATTACAAAGCAATGTTATAAGATAAATTTTCTATTTATCTATTCTTAGTCATCTTTATTAAGACATGGACACTGACTACACTAAATAATGAACGTAGTAGTTTCAACAAACAAGTAATAGAAATCGGTTTTGCATAAAGATTACACGTTAACTGCTCCATTCCTCTAATGACAATAATATTAGTTCTGAAGGTGTGCAATATCTTACTGATGTACTAGCAATTAATATAATGATTGAAGGTTTTCTATTAATCAGTCTCATACTCATACTGATATTATTTTAAATAGATATTTCTAAAACGCCATCTTCACACGAATGATATTGGTTCGAAAGATGCACAATATCTAATTAATATTGTACAAAATAATAAAATGAGGCAAATTTTCTCTTGATTTATCTCCTTTTTACCTCTTTCGTTTAATACCGAGATTAGAAAAACTTGAATTGCAATGCAACGGAATTAACTATCGATTGGTACCATAATTCGATGACTCATTACACATTAAGAAAATAAAAACGCATTTTTCGATAAAAAAAAAGTAATCTAGAAGTGTCTATGATATAAGCTTCTCCACATATGATACTGTGTTCTTGCTAAAAAAAATTTTCAATGTTTCTTTTAATAAAATATTTATAGTAAAAAAAAAATTAACTAATAACAACACAAGATCTTTTACTGAAATGGTAGTTTCATTTCATTGGAGGTTTTTCCTCTATGTAATAACGCATAATTTCTGTTTTCCTTGTTTTTTTTTGTTCAAAACCACAATTTATGACCACTTTTCATTATGAGTTTCTCTGTGATGACTGTTAATAATAAGGACAAAATTACGATTCAATTCTGTCGATCTTCAAATTCATGAAACTTTGAACAATGCATATTCTATTTTTTTATGTAATTTGATGAGACTATTTTGATTATATTACATTACAATAAATAGATCATACTCAAAAATAAATTATAACTGAAAAATATTTAGAACTATTCATTTGCTTAACTTGCATCACTTTATCATATTATATTGATCACTATTTGTAAAATAAGAATTGGAAGTTCATCAATGGTTTATAAAGATAAAATTTTATATTTCAATTTCTTATTTTATATATGCGGCTGCTTGTTTTTATTTATTGATGACATAGAAAAAACGGCAAAGAAAAAAATCATCATTGAAGATGAAAAAAAAACGAAATAAAAGACACAGTGAATGTTATTTATGTCCAATACTCGTCTTTTTTAAATAAAATATTTTATTTCTTTTTTTGTTGTGTTTGTTGAGGTTGTGCTTGAGTTTGTTGCTGTTGTTGTTTCTTTTCTTGTTTAGCACTTGTTTTTGTTGATGGTTTTTGTTGTTGTTGTTGTGGTTGTGGTTGTGATGGTGGTGCTACAACAGCTGCTTGAGCTTGTTGTTGAATAGCTTGTTGAACAGCTACATTTGTATCGTCATCTTCTTGTTTACCCAAAAGTTCAGTACGTTTTTGAAGAATACGTTGTTCACGTCGAGTACGTTTTTCTTTTGTACGTTCACGACGAGCAACAGCTTGATCAGAAAGCATCTTAGTACGTTGTACTTCAGCTTTCTTCTTATGAATAAATTCCATTAATACACGTTTGTTTTTAAAGACATTACCCTTGCATTTTAAGTAGAGTTCATGATATCTAATATAAAAACAAACAAAATAATATCATTGATTTGTTGTTCCTAAGCAAGAAATAACTTACAAATGACGATCAATTTTTTTAGCTGCACGATATTTTTTCAACAAACGACGTAAAACACGCATACGACGGATCCAAAGGATCTATATTTAAATTAAGTATTAGATCGAAATGAACAAAAAAAATATTAACGTTTTAACTAACCTTAGTTGGCATACGTGCATTGGCAGTACCTTTTCGTTTACCATGACCCATATGTCGACCTTTACGACGAGCTTCATTATTTTTACGTGTACGAAAACGTGAATGTACTGCCACTGGTTTTTTAATAATTAAACCATCTTTAATTAATTTACGTACACTTTGGCCTAAACAGTAAGAAAAAATAAAATTATTAGCATACATTAATAAAAATTCTTGTTCAATTTATTTGTTTATTGTCGATATTAGATGTATGAAAATCAACAAAAGAATAAAAACAAATAAAACTGAAAATTTATAATTTCCCCTTCTTGTGTATCGATCAATGTTACATGCGTAATAAAAAAATTTTTTTTTTACATCAAAGATCGATGATTGTTGAAGGGCTTTGAAGAAAAAGTTTTATGAAAAAATAACTTACGAGTGTTGGCATTTGCAATTTCATTGGCTTCATTTGGATCAAGCCAGATTTTCTTATTACCACATCGTAAGATTGATGAAGCGAGCCGCTTTTGTACTCGGAGCGAACTAATATCAGAAAAAAAATCAATCAAGTCTATGGAATGAATTTATCTTAATTTTCTACCTCATTTTTTTTCAATATGATGAATCTGTTATATGTTTTTTCTCGAAAAGCACCAATTTCGTAAGTTTGAACAGGGTCGTGACACAAAATTTTTCCAAAAATTTCATTGGTCCGACATTATCTAATGTTACGGATTGCTGAAATCGAGGAGGATTAGAATAAATGATACTATTTTAAAATATTTTAATATTTTTAGATTATTTTATTGATATTTATTTAAATTTAATGCAAATTTTTTATTCCAATAAATTAATTATATTTTACTTTATTAAAACAACTTTTCATTGGTCGAAAGTTAACCTATAGTAATCAATATCAGAGAGAGAGAGAGATAATGCTTTTAGTGGTTTCTATTATTTTGCTCCTATATGAAAGAAAAGATGTGAACCAGCATAAATTTTACAAGAAGTATTTTGATACATGGATACAATCATAAAAATAAGATGAATTGAGAAAAAAAAACTATATCATGATAAAGAATCTACCGAATCTTCATCTGTTTTAAAAGTTGTAAATTGAAATTGAACTTGCTTTAGGGACAACTCTTCGTCTTTCCACATAATTCAAAACCGAAGAAAAACCGCCAATATATCAGCAATCAACTGACGATAGTTAGATACTTAAATGCTCAGTTATCTCATCGCTGTTATTGTACCACGTTATACCCATAGCTATTGCTCGATCGATTATCTTCTGCCGATATTACTGTCGGTACTTATGGGTACAGTAGTATACCAATATCAGTGAGAATAATCAAGCAGCATACATAATTTGTAAGAAAATTTGTTGTCTTTCACTTTTTCTTGATTTATGCATATTTTTGAACAAATTCGATATTCGTTTCTTGTCAGAAACTTTAGATTTCGGGAATGCATTTCTTTAAAAGATGATCTCTTTTATTTGTATCAATTATCGAAGGTAAATGAGTATTTATAGTAATATTCGAGCAATCACAACAGAGACCAGTGTTTTTTGATATATTACGGCTCTAGTACGAATGTATGAATCGAATTTCACGGATATGATTAAACTATATAACGGCAACTTTCGTATATACACAAATTTTTCATAAATAAGTTTAAATTTATAAGCAAAGTAAAAGAAAAAATGGGAACAGAAAAATATGAGCAAGTGGAAAAATAAGTATGAAAAAATAAACTCAACATATACACGGCATTTTTTGCATGAAGACTAAACGTTTATTTTCATCTAATGAGACATTTGTACCAAATAAAAATGAAATTGCACATAATAACCTGAGTGTAAGAAGTCTTGGCACAATATTGCTGCTTGATTTTCGTCCACTTATAGGTTGCCGAAGAGAAGCAAAAGTAGCTAGGTAGGATAAGTATTT